AACCTCCAGCAGAACCAGGCTCAGTGTGAGCGGATATATTTTATGAGCTCCTTTTTTCTTTCTGTTAAACTTTATTTAGAACTTTGCTGATAGCAGAAAGGGTCCTTTCTGAAGTAGCAAAAAGTGAAAGACAAAAAAAACACAAGCTACATATAGTACAAGGAAGAAATATAGAACTCTAAATATGCGATGACAAAACAATAAAGAGGAAATTAAAAGAAAAAAAATTGAAGAAAATAAACACAAATAAATTATATTCACTACAAATATTTTTGTTTGCGCTTCTCCTCTGACTTCAAAAACGAGTCTTTTATTGTGAAGGGATCTGACCGGATGTGCTGTAGCTTCCACTTCCGGATCAGCCGGTTTGAAGCGGTCAGACTTGTCGGCTGGAGTGAGAAGCACCAGAGGAAGCTGCTCTGACGTTTTTCTCCGAGGTACGTCCCCCAAACACCGACAGCAGGAGGCCGGTACCGGTCCGGGGATGGACCGGCCGCCTCCCGGTGCTGCTTCCCCGCCGGTTAGCTAGCTTTTTAGCCGGTTTCTCAGTTCGTTTTAAGTTTCGATAGCAGTGAAATGAAAGTCATCATCAGAACTTGAAGAAGCGCATCGGTCCAGTTAGCTGCTGCTGTTTCTCCTGCTTCATGTTAACAGAATCAAACTTTTTATTTATCTCCTCTCCTGGTTCTGGTTGGGTCCAGCTAAATTAGACACCTGTTCAGCCCAATAAATACTTATTATAAGCCGGTTTTTATCAGTGTATGTATCTATATTGATAGTAAAACTAAAAGGTGTGAATTTTTACATCATATTTTACATTTTTCCTGTAGAACTAAATGAGTTGTGCAGATTGTTGTCCTGCAGGGACATTTAAAGAGGCAGTGATGCTGAGATGAAGCCTCATTGAACATGTCGCCACCTACTGGTGGAGTGCGGAACTACAGTTAGTAATATAACCTGGGATTCTTTTGCATTTGTTTTTCTTTTTTCTTTTTTTTTTTTCTCCATTTATGTTTCTTTGAAATTTTCAATGATTGGTGTGTATAATAAAATCCTTTTTTGGTAAGTTTTTTTGTGCTTACAGTGTCTCAGAGCAATATTTTAATGTTCACCTTTTTATCTCATTTTAGTGAAATAAGCTGAAGCAGACAGATGAAGTGCAAATTGGGCAAGGGTGAACAAAATGAAAGGTGTTAGTCATTTTTATTCAAAACCAATATTTTTTCCGCAGTTATTGGTTTTAATCGGGTTGGAAGTTATATGTTCAACCGATCTTTTAGTTAAACCAACTTGGCAGTGTTTTCACCCGATGTATGTTGGTAAAATGGCAAACCAATGCAAATGGGTCACCTTGGCCTAAATACTGCTTAAGTAGCACAGCAACTCCCAAAAGTTTAAATTAAAGCTTGATCCCAGAACCTTTGGATTGATGATCAATCTATTACACGCCACAGTATAACGACTCATCAGAGAGCAGAAATACTAAATGCTAACCACACTACTGAAACTAGTGTTTTGTTCAAATTCTGATTATTAATTTGTTTAATCTAACCAAACTAGTTTTAACCAACTAGATTGGTTGCTTGTCCAACCAATCTAGGTACCAATCTTAGAATCTATCCAAACTCTATCCAGCTGACAGCAGCTCTCCTGCAAACTCCCACATCTTGACTGAATAATCAGGCTGTTTAAATGCCTGCTGAAGTTGTTGGCGAGCTGAACCCCTTGTTGAACCGGTCACCTGGTAGGGCAGCGTAGCGAGGCTTCAGGCGTCATTGATTTTGGCTCCTCCCCTAAATGAAGCAAGTCTTGATGCACACTTCAGGGAAACGCCCCCTCCACTACTCGACTTACGCCTCGAAGCCTCGGCTCATCTCATAACAGGAGCTAAATATTCACTTAAAATAGTTTCAACCTTAAATGAAAGCACTGAATAATCCCTGAATGATTAAACATCAGACTGATCCAGTTTATGTTTGGTTTCAATCTGATTTGGGCAATAAGCAAAGTTTAACGAATAGAGAGCTGATGCTTATTTAAAGCAGATTGGCTAAATGTTGAGAAACGGGTTAGGAAGAAGATTGAGTCCTACCCAGAATCCAATCTGTCCTTTGGATCCGTTGCTGCTGTTAGTCCTGGTTCTGGTTAAAACCCAGGAGGCCAGAAGAGACCTGGACAGGGCTATTTGGCTTTCAAACATGTGAATAACATAAAGGCTCCAGAGAGAAGTGGCACATAATCGACATTCTGATCCATCTGCAGCACCGAGTTCACAAATGATCAGTGGTTTGGCCTTCAGATGAGGACAGGAGGGCAGTAGAACGTCTCTTCTCACCTGCAGCAGCTGAACTTTCATTTTATCCTGAAATTCTGTAGATATCATCCAGATTTCAGAGATTCTTTGGAGTTTCATAAAAGCTGTGGGACCAGGAAGAAGCTGATTGGCTGCAGTGTTTGATGCTCGGCCTGTAATCCTGTTTTTAACAGAAGTTTTCCTCTGATTCTCAGCTAGCAGACTTGGCGGTTCAAACCTTCCATTAACTTGTGTTTTTGTTTTGCAGCGCACCATGTTTAAGCCGACGGAGGCCCCCAAGAACCAGGCCCGCCGTCACAACATGTCCTCCAAGGGCTCCAGGGAGCCCAAAGCCATTCACATCGACGAGGAAGTCAAGATAGCCGTGAAGTTGGCGCTGGACAGGTTTTGCTACAGCAATGAAAAAGGTACGACAACATGGCCGCTCTTCAGCCGGACAGCCCCTCCTCTGGTTCCTAACGTATCGGCTAGAGGCGGTCTGAGGCTGTGCTGCACCCGGAGAGGACTGCAGGAGCTTTAAAATCCAACCTGGACGCATAAAATGAGACTAATTAACATGTCTGTTAGCGTTTGAAGCATGATTTAGGCTACATGGATCTAGGGCTGGGCAATGTGAAGAAAATATATATTTCGCCAAATGTTTAAATTCCCTTCAAAAACAATAGAGTGCATAATGTTGCACTGATATACTCATTCAAGCTTTTGGTTTCAAATTTATTTTAATTCATTTTCTTTTTAACCAGCTCACAGCTTTTCTGCCACATGATGTGTTTGTGTGTCAGAATTAGACATTTGATTAGATCCCAGCAACCAAACAGGAAACAATGCAAAATATTCAATACTAAATAAAATGCTAAATAAAAGAAAACCTCTTTTACGGTGTCTGGGAGGTGCAGACCAACATTACAAAATCTAAAACACTTTTATAAGTTCAAAAACAAATGATAATTTGAGGAAATCAACCGGAAAGGGTGGGTACTAACTCCGAGGTTGAACCGTTCTGTCCCCCTTGTGGTGGGAACGTGCATTGCAGCCAGAGGGGAGGATCTGACCATTTTCGAGGCGCTCCTGATCATTTCTTTTTGAAAACAGCTCATATAATCATGTCAATTTCGTAACATTCAGTTTAATCGGTGGCTCTTTTTACAAACTTGTAAAATGAATACATTAACGAGGTCTTCTTACGCTGTTTTGTGTTGTTTTTTTTAAACGCCAAGAGAATCTGATAGGGTTAATAATCATAACCACTTATTGTCCTAGAAATGAAACCAAACAAAGCCATTATTCTTTTCTTTCTCAGAGAAAAGAGAGAGAGAGACAGACCAAGGGTGAGACCCCTTGAAAAGTCTGTACTTAACTCTGCCCAAACCTCTCTGTTCTGCTGCTTTTATTATTGGACTTCAAAGGAATTACAGGAGCGGTCAGAAGTTATCAGTCACCTACGGCTGCATAGCTGGATAATACCAGGTCCTGAGAGAAATATTTGCTCTCCTCATTTAGAACAATACTTTATATTCTTTGGCCAAATGCCTGTAACTTGAAATAAAATGATAAGATATACATTTTTCTAACAGAATCTGTATTTCTCCTACTTTTGTCCCTTCAGCCTGACAGAAATAAACGTCAGTCACCAAAGACAGATTTCCAACACGTAGAGTATTTTTAATTTTTCATTGCTGATATAAGAGGATGGAAACTGACTGAAAGCAGGGCACACATTAAGACGTCCTGCCAAGATAAGAGTAGAATGTCTGGTTAATCCCCTTCTAATGTAAAACATGACAGATTACTGGATTAAGGACATTTCTAGTATAACATATCGCACATATCAATTTTATAGAAATTGGAAACAGTTGCTCTTTATTTTCCAAAGATATGGGAGGAGGAGAGGAGAGAATGGATGATTCAGCTGCCTGAAATCATCTGTTCCTCCTCCATAACATGGGAAGAAATTCATGTACCTGCAGGTCTTTAACTGTGTTTATTCCTCTCACCATCAACAACAGATCCTGTGGATTTGGTCATATTTACTCTTTATTTGCCAAAATTAAAAGAGAATGAAATGATTCCTCTCTGGCTGCAATGCACGCTCCCGACACTAGGGGGCAGAACCAGAGACCGGTTCAGCCTCTGAGTTAGTGCCCACCCTTTCCACTTGAATTCCTGAAATGATCATTTGTTTTGGGACTTGTAAAAGTTTTTCAAATGTTTTTTATTTGTTTTCTTAAAATGCTATTTGTTTTGAATTTTTAAAAGTGTTTTGTTTATTTTTATTTTTAAATGTAAATTTGTTTCCTGAAATGATAATTTGTTTTGGGACTTGTAAAAGTTTTTTAGATTTTGTAATGTTGGTTTGCACCCCCCGGCCACCGTACGCTTTTGTGCATAATAAAGAAAAATATATCAGAATGAAAAAAGAAATTGACCTAAAATGTCAAAAACAAAAAATGAGATCATTATCAGAGCATCTCCAAACTATCAGCACTGATCTTTACCTGCTGGGAAATTTAAAGAAGCATAAAAAGTTATAAAGCGAGAACATTGCCAAGTTTAGAAAACGCCTTTAAAAGCTCTGAACATCACATCACAGCTATTAGAGCATCTGAACAACATTTAAATGACGTTATAAACAGTGTCTCTTCCTGTTTCTCTCATATTGGATTGCGTCTTCAAACGAGGCCAACGCCATCGGCTTCACAGCTGATTGATTGAACGTTTTAATCGGTGAGCGGGGAGACGCTGACATGCAGAGGTTACAACATTCTCCACTTTGGAGCCGATTACTTTTTAGGTGGTGGAATAAATTTATACTGCTACATTTTGCAGCGATGGTTTTTGATCTTACAAATCAGGCCTTAAGTTCGCCGTCCTCGGCGTGAAATCCAAACCGCTGCCGTATATCGCTCAGCTGAAACACCGGCTGTCGCCATGTTTAGTTTGCCTGTTGCTGTAGTGTGCGTCTTGCACAGCAAATAATCCTGCTTAGAGGAGGGGTTTATGATGCATTCAGAGTGTGTGGGAAAAATAAAACACTCAGTGAAATAGATGCAAACGGCTTAATGTAGTCATGGTAATTTGGACTCGATGGCTGCGATAGAATCATTTTAGCTATTGTGTGGGAAAGCTCGAGATACATCCAGTTTTTTGGATATATGGTGCAGCCCTTCATGGAGCCATGGCGGCTTCATGGCAGCGCAGCGGTGATTAGCTTCCTGCATGTCACTACCTGATCCATCCTGGAAGGAACATCCGTCCTGCAAATGCATGAACAGAATCATAAGACGTAATTAATGAAAATATTTAATTATATAATTAAAACATTAAAGAATGCTAGACTACATTATAAAGAAAATAGACATTCCTGGAAGAAATGGATGCGTTTTTCATTCTCTCCATTGTATTGCAGGACGTCATCATCGGACATGTTCAGAGCAGTCGCAGTAACGTTCCAAAGGATATTTGAGTTTATATATATATATTTTTTTTCGTTTTTAGAATATGCAATATTTACACAAATACAACAACATTCAAAAGAAACCCAGCTGGAAAAAGACAAACAAATAAAAAAGTATGAAAAACAAAGTATTTCTTACCTGGAAGTTATTCTGTTGGCGCATGTGCAGGAAGAATCGTGCTTCCGATACGGATCTGAGCGTTAGAGGCGGCGCCTTATCCCGCAGCCTTTGCTAACACCCCCCCTCCTCTGCCTTTGAACAGAGCTGGAGTTCCCGTCCTCCTTCTCCAGCACTGAGAGGGCCTTCGTTCACCGACTGGCCCAGTCCCTGGGCTACAGCTCCAGGAGCAAAGGGTGAGTTCTGTGGTACTGATGCAGCGTCTGAGCTGAGCAGCTAAACCAGTGAACAGCAGCAGAGGGAGGAGGAACCAGAGGGTCTGTAAAACCTTCAGAGTTCGCTCCGCTAAGAGGAGGGGATCCTGTTTATGGTTTCATTTTTTAGATCTGTTTCTGTTCATTAGTTTTCACTCAGATGAAAGATTAAAAAAGAGAAATAAATGGTTTGTAGAAAACTATTTTTAATGCTTTTAGATCAGCGTTGCCAACTGAGTGCTAAACTTTGTGCCTTTTAGACCCACTAGCGCCTTTATTACAAAAAAGCGCCTAGCGATAAATCTAGCTACTTTTTTCTGTGTTGATGGAGACTTTGGTGACATCCAAGCACCAAACTCTGTCCTCCTGAGAGAGTGGACCTTAAGCCTGCCCATCTCTAACTGTCCTCATGATGACACATGAAATAAATGCATTTTCTATCTACAGCCTCATCTTCTCCCGTTGTGCTCCTCTAGTCTCCGTGTCTTTGCACTGGTGCTATTTTCTTCTTCTTCATGTTTTTTTTTTTCGTTTTGCTAGATGCCAAACAACTAATGGTGCATTTATGTCACCTATTGCTATGTAGTGTGGATCTAAGTGGCTGAATTCTATGTATTTTTCTTTCCTTGTTTTTGTAAAAGTCTCTTTAAAACTCTTCTGATCTGCAGGTTTCTTCATCCCAGGTATCCCATCTCTCTGAGCTGCTTTTTTTTTCTGAAAGAAAAACCTTTAGGGAATCAGAATCTCCTGCAGCAGGTGTAGGTACCAGATCTGCTTCAGGCCCCGCCCCTTCTTATGATGTCATTATATGGCAACTCCACTCGGACAAACTGTATTGCACCTGTTTTTAAGAATCAAATCTGTTTTGGACTCACAACATATTATTCCCTATATTTGCTAATATTTTACATTTAATCTAAAGTAGCCAAAAGTAGAAAACAATCATTGTGAGTCTGGAAGGAAAGTCCTGCCTTCTGAGCTCTGCTATTTAACAAGGTTAAAGCTTATTTTTATTCTTTTTATTAAGATCTGAGGGCAGAGGAGGACAAATGGAACATCTTAAAAATGACTTTTGAAGAGATTTTAGACAAATAAAAGTTATTCTACTTGTAGAAAACGAACGGTTCTTCTTGACACAAAATTAAAAGTAATACAGCTTAATATGGCTAACTGAGGCTAGCCTGTTAGCTACTGAACACAGCTAGCCACAGCGCCACCCAGCTCTTCATATCATGGTCTAACAGTTACTTTGTTCACCAGAAACAGATTTTATCAGGTTTGTTTTCAATCAGGTAAAACTTCATCGTTGATTAGACAAGCTAACGCTACAGATGCTACAGACTCAGCACACAAACGCTGCGTGATGTTATTATCGTTGTCTAGGCAACCACAATGTTTAACATCATGTGGGAACATTCAGCCAATCATGTAGCGTAACGTCACTGGCAGGAAGCAGATCTGGTAGCTACAGCGGATGACATGAAGTATGCAAATTAGGCAAAGACATCATCTAGCGCCTTCAAGGACAGCCAATAGGGACCTTTCTTGCTGAGGAGTTGGCAACGCTGTTATAGATGCTCTTTTGAACTTGGCTGCTAACTGTAGAGCAGTTTATTGATTTGCCTCACATTTTATCCGACCTTTTCAGGAAAGGGTCGAGTCGTTTCCTGACCGTCAGGAAGAAGGAGACGTCCGCCAAGCTTCAGCCCAGCATCTGCCTGGACCTGAGCTCCAGCTCCGCCTACTTCATCCGCAGCCTGCTGCAGAGGTTTCCTCCCAGCAAGAAGGAGCGAGCCGACCTCCATCCCAACGCCAAGAGTGGAAATCCTTTGGTTACAGAATCAAGTGATTATCCGCCTGTCTGCAGAAATAAGTGGGGGTGGGGGGGCTTTAGACGTAACACTGATATCTTACAGCGGGAAAAGTTCAGGGAAGTAGTTTCGCCGTATCTGATGATGAGAGCGCCACAGCGGGTAAAAATGTCACGCAGCAGATGAGACGTTCCTGTCTGGCAGCAGGAAAGCAACTTTCAACCAACGGAGGGATGGAGAGAGAGAATAGAGGATAGAGAGAGTAGAGCTGTGAACCACAGGTGAACCTCAAACCCATCAGACTCCATCAAGACTGAGAAAAGTGTTGGAGTCTGATGGAAATATGGGGGAAGCTTTCAGCAAGTGGAGGGGAGGGGCTGAGATCTGCGCTGGGAATGAAGGGCGACCCTTAGCTGGTCTATAAACAGCTTTTATTTTTTAATCTTTATTGATTATCAGGAAAGTATCATTTAAATAGACAAAGGCCTCTACTTCACAGGATTAACTCCAACATTTGAAATAAAGTGAACAAGTAAGGCTTTACATTATAACAGTCCAACTAAAGCAGTGATTTTACTTCCCTGAGAAGAATTACAACCAAGAAATAAATACAGAACAAAAAGCTAAAAAAGAAAACAACAAGGAAAAAACAGAATTCAATTTAACATATCAGGAGAGTGGATTGTTGAGGAGATTTAATCAAGTTAGGTCTCTAAAGTTGAAATCAGATCTTTTAAGTTGTACATAGTCTAAACAAATCTGCCATCACTGACAGAATAGTTCAGTCTTTGATTGAGAGAAGCTGTTATTGTTTCCTTTTTATATTTGTTAAATGTTAAGTTGATCCAGTTCTGTCATAACCATTTTCTTCTAATGATTTTCTTACTTGCTGTTAATATAATAGTCATTAAATATTTATTTCTTTGTGAGGCTTCTTGAGGAATTATAACAAAAAACATCAAATTGATTTGCAAAGGAATGTTCTGTTTGAAAATGTCTTTTAAGGCATTATTTATCTCTTTCCAGTAATCTTTTCTAATTGGTCAGTCCCAGAAGACACGATAATGGTTCGCCTTTTGATTTCTACATTTCCTCCAACATGTGAGCATTTTTGAGCAGCTGTGATTAAAAAATCTTAGCAGATTTTTCCATCCAAATTGTTTCCACATTATTGCCCATTCCTCCTCTGCTATTGTCAGATTGCCCCCCCGTTCACATCTTGCTTTGATATGTTGGGTTGAATTGTTTCTGAGATCCATTAGTTTTTTATAGATAAGTGAAACAATTGTCCCTTTAATTTTTGATTTATAGGCATTTATATTTTTTCAATAAACAGTTTATTAATAAACTAAATTTTCTGATGCGTCATCTTAACCCTTTAAGCCCCGAGGGTCTAAAGGAGCAAATTCAACAACTTCAGCTTCCAAACTAAAAGTTAGAAATAAGATTGTTTGTATTTATGTGACAGAAAGGCATCAAGGAATATTTTCCAGGTGGAACTATGATGTCTGATTTATAGGTGATTAAACAGAAAAAATAAAAAATATATAGTACTCCAAAATAAACAAAACGCCATGAAAGATCATTAGAAACTCTGGATGAACCCTCAGACTTTATAGATCCACATCTTGACTAGAACTCAAGCTAATTTGGACTGAATCAGTTGAAGCATGTTTGTTTAGTGGGCAGAGTGCTAGGAGGAAATAGATGGTAAATGGTAAATGGCATGTACTTATATAGCGCCTTTATTCAAGTTAGGAGACCTGACCAAAGCGCTTTACACTACATTCATTCACCCATTCACACACACACTCACACACTGAGGATAGGATAATTTCACAGAGCCTAAAGCGCCAAAATGCATTTTTCTCTTCATAAAAGTGAATCTGATCAGACAAATATACTGATTTCCATTATTGGAGACCTTCTGCATAAAGCAAAGCCTTTGCTCTTAAGATTTAGTCGTTGGTTCATTGAAATTTACCAATAAAATCACCAACCTGAATAGAAAATAAGAATAACAGAGCAGCTTATGTAAAGCATGCCGGTTCCATCCCCTGAAATGGTCTCACAATGACCTCTGACCCCTGCTTGGAAAGGTCTGAGCCTCTAGTTTCCAATGATGGCGGCCATTATGGGGCGGGGCTAAATATGAATACCTGCTGTTGCATTACTCCTGCAGAGTCACACATGTCAGGTGGAATTTTAAATCTGATTTTTATTTGCTTACACAGCTATAAAACAGTAGTATTATAGCTGTATTTGTGAAAAAATAATTCTGAAACATGTTTTAGAAATGTTAAAGCAAGATTTGAAAGGAGTGTGGATGAAACACCATGTGACTGTGCTTTGGCCATTTCTATAAATAGATCAACAGGAGCAGGTGTCAGTTGGGTGAGGCCGCCGGGCTTAAGGGGTTAAAGTCTTCAGATCGCGTTAGAACCTCTGCAGACATCGATTCATCTGCCAGCTGATCAAACAGGCCGTCCTCCATCAGGGGAATCGGGCTGAACCTCTGCTCCCGTTTCAGACGGCAGCTTCGACCGAACCAGAGCCAGCGGCCGCCTGAACAACGGCATCCCCATGGTTCCTAAGAAGAGGACGCCGTCGGTGCTGGACGCTTTCCGGCGCTCCCTTCCTGTGACCGAGCACCAGGACGAGATAGTCCAGCTGATCCGGGACCACCGAGTGGTTCTGGTTTTGGGAGAAACTGGCTCTGGAAAAACCACGCAGGTAGGTGGGCTGCAGGAAGCTGTTTAAAAGCCTTCAGCGCTCCTTGGCTGGCAGTCTGTAGACTGTGATGGAAAGTTGTGTGGAAGGTAAACCTTTATTCTTTAGTGTTTACTAACACCCAGTCAGTTTATACTGGATGTGTTTTTAAAGCTAATTAAAACTTTAGCTGAATCCACCTGGATCTGCTCTATCCTGATGAAAACGTTTAATCTTACATCTTTTTTTCCGTCTAAGTTGTGCTGATATGAGTGAAACCTTATGATGTTTAAAAACTTTTTAAAAAAAATTTCTAATGTTTATTAAATCCTTCAACGCTTAAACATACAGCGAAACCAATGTTGACAATCCTAGGCAGCAGGGAAAGCTAAAGCAAAGAAAATATAATATATAAAAAACAAAGATAGTTAATAAAAAGTTCACACACACTTCATCTTTTATTCTGGACCAATATTGTTTGAGCCTCACCTCTCTGGTGTTAAGAAAGGTTCCTACGTACTCTGATACGCCTCAATCTGACCGTTACCCCTCAATCTGACCGTTACGCCTCAATCTGACCATTACCCTTCAATCTGACCGTTACGCCTCAATCTGACCATTACCCTTCAATCTGACCGTTACGCCTCAATCTGACCATTACCCTTCAATCTGACCGTTAC